GGTCCACATGGTGGCTGAGAAAGTAATACCTTTGATGCTTCAATAGACACAAGCTTTGTTTCATTCAAGAAACTGTCACAAAAATTATGCATAAATGACCTTCAGGCTGTTTATGGTATATACGAAATATAAATGAATTTTGTGTTTAGACTTGGGTTCCATCTCCAAGAAATCTCATTATGTATAAGTCGATATGCCAAAATCCAGAGCTTGGGGAATGAACTCCAAGACACATCATCATAATCATCATCACTATCCTACCTACAAGGGATGCTTTTTTTGGTAAACCATTACCTTTTGGAAAATGGCATTCACAACCTTTTGGGAAAAGCAGAGATATTCTGGAAAGGCATTACCTTGTTAGAGATCGTAACTTTTTATTAAAGTATGATCTTCCTGAGAAGAGTTAAAAACTCACTTGAATCAACCTTCTCCTTGGTGGTGAATATCCACTAGTATTCATACAAGGGAATTAGCTTTCTCAGCTGTTAAACTGATATACCTAAATATCTCTCTGAACTGTTAGGGACAAAGATATGCCAATGCACAAAAACATATAGCAGAGTTTCAGAAGCGTTCCTTTCAGTTACCCAAAAAACAGCTACTTTCCCTTAAAACATCTTGGTTTGAATCATGTTCTCAAGAGACCAAATTAGACCAGACTTCCTTAAAAATAACATAGTTGGTTTACTCATAAACTTAATGTATTCAGCATACAGGTATATTTCTCTTCAATCCAGTTACAGATAGGATTTGAGGTAGTTTTTCTATGCAGATAACACAAGGCATCTTTCTCAGGAAAACTCTGAGAAGGTCATGAGTTCGAAGCCAGCCCGGGTCGGAGTGAGTGTCTGGCCAATTGCGTAGCTTGCTGTTGACTTTTGCAACCCAAAAGACAGTTGCATCTGTCAAATAGGAAAATTAGATACCACCTATGTGTGGGGAGGCTAATTAACTAATTTATGAGGCCATAAAAGGACTCCAGCAAAAAGCACTCCAGCAAAGCATGCGGGGAATGCGGAAGTACTTATCAGTGTCGCAGCTGGACAATGAAAGCAACAGCTCCCCTGGTGGCCAGAAAAAGTTAAATAGCCTCTGTGTATGTCTATATACATTGTATGTCTAATTGGCATTGAATGTTTGCCATATATGTGTACATTGTAATCCGCCCTGAGTCCCCTTTGGGGTGAGAAGGGCGGAATATAAATGCTGTAAATAAATAAATAAATAAATTTTATTTAAAATTTGCATTAAAGCACATTTTGCTAGGATATGCATCCATTGCTTTTGTTAGACCTGGAGGACACTGTGCAAAGGCAGCCTGTGGTATATTAAAGGCAGCAGTTGCCAGCATAACTTCCTTAGCTGGTCTAACTGTGTACGACAGGGTGATAAATATTTATACATTATTTATAGACCAAAATAACAGAGTACCCCCCCCCTCCCACTAAGGATATTTCATCTACAAACCACTTCCCCATGCTGCACTCTTGATTTATAGCCAGCTGTAACAGGAAGGAGTTGGAAGGATCTCCGTTCTCCACTTCTCCTTTTCAGAAGTTAACACACTCTGAGGAATGTCAGCAACACAACAGAAGTGATAAGCACAACTGTCAACCGTTGTCAGCTGCAGGCCAGTTAACATCAAAAACATCTCCCCTCTCCTGGCTTCTGATTGGATGCAAAGATGCCCTTCTGTAGAGAACTTGGCTGAAGTCCTACATCAAAGATATGGAGCTTGACTTTATGCACATTGACTTTCACAACTATTCAGCAATGCTATCATGTTTGCAAGCTGAGACAATAGGCAAGGAAATGTGTTACCAAAGGGAAAGAAGAGGAAGAGGAGGAAAAGGAAGAGAAGGAGGAAAAAGAAGAGAAGGAGGACAAAGAGGAAGGGGAGTAGGAAGAAACAGAGGAGGAAAAGGAAGAAAGGGAAGAAGAGGGAGTAAGAGAAGGAGGAGGAGGAGGAGGAAGCAGAAGAGATGAGACGAGAAGAAACAGAGTAGGAAGAGGAAAAAGAAAGAAATGAAAAGGGAAGAAGCAGAAGAAAAAGAAGTGGAGGAGGTCTAAGCCTGAGGACTTGTAGGGACCAGCTGCTCTACCTGTAATTTCCAAATTCTGTCCCAGAAAAACTGAGATTCTGCAAAATAACATTTTCAATCATGGAAATCAGAAATGACAGAGAAGCAGCTTGGAAAGAAGGGATGGGAAAACAGACCCACAAATAGTTGGCTTGTGTTCATCTGTAACAAGAAACATTTTTCAGCCAAATGGACTCAAGACAAAGTCATCACGGGCACGGCTTCGAGACCAGTAGTTCCCAACCATTTTTGGACCAGGAACTAGTTTGACCAGGGACCGCTTTGACCAGGGACCACTCTCCAACATTAGTACCAGAAGCGTTATGAATCAGTTTTTGCTCAACTTTAGATTCGGTTTGGTTATTTGAGGTGCATTGGATAGACCACGTCAGCTGTAGTTTCTGATACAGAACATACGCCACCCAGTAGTCGCCTTCTGCTTATCCACAGAAAACCATATTTAATAATCTGGAGCCTCAGAACTTATTTTAGGTCCCGCGGCCCACCAGTGGGCTGCAGTCCACAGGCTAGGAACCACTTTCCTAGACCTACATTGTCAAATGACAATTAGGCATTACAAAGTCTCTCCTAGTACCTATAGAAGATCCTCATCTGAGGCTAAATTCAGAACTGAAGAAAAGTGCCCCATCACCAATTAGTTATTTAAAGGCATAGTTTTGGCATAGTTATATCTGTATCTGATGAGATCAACTGAGTCTGCCAAAGCTGATGTTTAAAACTTCTTTTTCTCAGTCTCAAAGCTGCTATAAGATCCTTTTAACAACAATTAGTTTTTGAACTTTGAACAAAGATAAAAATATTTTCCCCACTGAAAATCTCTTTATCTTTAATCAACTGCTGATTGGAGATGAGAGAAGTTACTTGCCTAAGAAGGGCAAAACCACCTCTGAGCATTTCTTATCTAAGAAAAGCCTTATGACATGAAGGCACACATAGATGCACACGAAGGAAGTGGTTTCTGTCTGGGAGAGGCAAGGTCAAGGAAGACACCAACATCTGAAAGCATTGGATTGCCTTTAGCATTCCCTTGAATCTTCTGCAACTTTCTCAGATGTGAGAACAGAAGTGCAAGATTTTCTCAACAAACAAGTTCTCACAGGTCTCACATGATACAAACAGCAGCCTGATGACGATAGATTAAATTCAGCTCCAAGTCAAAGCCATCCATTTACCAATGCATGTTCCAGGTTTGGGAAGAAATGTTAATATACACAACCCCAATTCAAACTTTGTGATTTTTTTCTACATGTCAGGAGCAACTTGAGAAACATCCTGAATTAATATTCTGTATACACTGGAGACCAAGGTGCTTGTTTATAAAGCCAGTGTCCTCCCAACACTGCTATATGCCTGCGAAACGTGGACTGTCTACAATTCTATCAGCAATGCTGTGATATAGACACCAAGAAAACTGTGGCATAGACACCAAGAACTGGGAAGCCCTGGCCCTTGAGTGTTCTAAATGGAGGTCAGTTGTGGCCAGCAGTGCTGTGGAATTCGAAGAGGCATGAATGGAGAGTGAAAGAGAGAAGCATGCCAATAGGATGGTGTGTCAAGCCAACCCTGATTGGGACCACCTTCTGTCTGGAAACCAATGTCCTCACTGCAGGAAAAGATGCGGATCAAGGATAGGGCTCCACAGCCACCCACGGACCCACCACCACATCTGGAGAAAAATCATCCTTGAGCTACAAGGGATCGCCTTAGTAAGTAAGTAATACACTGGAATGTAATTACCCTCGTTTCTTTGAATTCTGGGATGGAGTTCTCCGATCAAACATGCATGCGTTAGGAAATACAGTGTACAAAAAGGCAAATATTAGGATAAATTTTGAACACAAAATAAGAAGGGGAAGAAGGAAGTGGAAGAAGAGGAGGAATTTCTATCCCACTTTGTCTCTTTCAAGAGATTAAAAATACATATGAATTATTGTAGAGACTTCACCTAAATATATAAAATTATTACAAGTTAGTGCAAAAACAGGGCTAAATGTTGTGCTTGATCAAGTGCAAATGTTACAGAAGGCAAAGACGACAGACCCACCCATTCCTATTCCCAGCAATAATGTGAAATTCACATCTTATGTGCTGGAACCAGATAGTATCATAGAATCCTAGAATTGGAAGAGACCTCATGGGCCATTCAGTCCAACCCTATTCTGCCAAGAAGCAATAAAATCGCATCCAAAGCATCCTCCATCCTCTGTTTAAAAGCCTCCAAAGAAGGAGCCTCCACCACACTCCAAGCAGAGAGTTCCACTGCTGAACATCTCTCACAGTTAGGAAGTTCTTCCTAATGTTCAGGTGGAATCTCCTTTCTTGCAGTTTGAAGCCATTGTTCCGCATCCTAGTCTCCAGGGCAGCAGGAAACAAGCTCCCTCCCTCCTCCCTATGACTTCCCTCACCTATGTATACATGGCCATCACATAAATACATGAGGGGAAGTTATAGAGAAGAATTTCAACTTATAATAATATTTATAACACTTTAATTATCATGATTGTAAGTGAAAGCAAGTGCAGTCACATCATGCTAAAGATGGTAGGAAATCACTAGCCAGGGAACAGAAAGAAACTTGTTTCTCATTCTCCAATGTGCCTGGAGCACATTGTATTCACCAAATCATAGCAAGAGAGTAGAACTTCAATACTGGCGGAGAGAAGGAGTCAAATTTGAAATGATCAACAGGGAAAAATGGAATTGGCTCTCCTCTCTCTGAGCCAGAGCTCAGATCCCAATTTGGCCACGGAAAGCCATTGGGAGACCTTCAGGCAAGTCATGTTCTCTTGGAGGAAGACAGTGGCAAAATAAATTTTGCCAAGAAACCCTTATGATAGGGTCACCATAAATCAGAGCTGACTTGACAGCACATTGCAACAATTAATGTTTGCTTACCTGTAAATGATGCCTTTGTCGTGAAGGAACATGAGGGCTGAAATGATCTCTGCAGCATAAAATCGGGCTCGGGCTTCATCAAAGCGGCGGGATTTTTGGATGTGGAACATCAGGTCCCCTCCATTTACAAATTCCATGACAAAGAACAGGCGATCCTAAGAGAAAGTGAAATAGAAGAATTTAAAGAGTCACATCAACAAGGGATGCCCATTAATTGTGTACAGAATTCCCCCCTAAATCCAGCTCTCAACGTCACCCTCATTGAAATCTCACCTTTGAAGATAGATATTGACAAGCTGCAATGTGTCCAGAGGAGGGCACCTAAAATGATCAATGGTCTGGAGAACAAGCCCTATGAGGAGCGGCTTAAGGAGCTGGGCATGTTTAGCCTGAAGAAGAGAAGGCTGAGAGGAGATATGATAGCCATGTATAAATATGTGAGAGGAAGCCACAGGGAGGAGGGAGAAAGCTTGTTTTCTGCTTCCCTGGAGACTAGGACGCGGAACTATGGCTTCAAACTACAAGAAAGGAGATTCCATCTGAACATGAGGAAGAACTTCCTGACTGTGAGAGCCGTTCAGCAGTGGAACTCTCTGCCCCGGAATGTGGTGGAGGCTCCTTCTTTGGCTGGATGGCCATCTGTCAGGGGTGCTTTGAATGCAATATTCCTGCTTCTTGGCAGGGGGTTGGACTGGATGAGGTCTCTTCCAACACTAGGATTCTATGATTCTATGATTCACCTGTCTGAAAGCATTTCCTCTGCATTTCTCATTCATTGCTAGGCCTCATTCAAGGTTCCCATTCTGCTCTGACCTAAATTAAAGTTGTGTAACTGAAGAATCTGAGGATGATTCTGGCCTTTCTGATATTCAGTCTGACTCTCCTGCAGAGCAAATGAATGCTTCATACAGCATTCAAAATATAGCCTTTAAAATTGTAAACATTATGATTCATGCTATATTTTGGTGCATTTTCCAAGTGGGTGCCTTCCTAGTAGCTAAGCATTAAATTGTTTCACTATGCTTTAATGCAGCCCTTCAGATTCTGATGGACACCAACTCCCAGTAGCCTTAACAAGTACGGCAAATAGAAAGGAATGCTAGGAGTTGCAGTCAATCTGAGGCTAAGGACTGTCATATAAAATCCAGATTAAAAGCTTTGAAATTACATGGCAGTGTAGACTCAGGCCCCTTCTATACTGCCATATCATCCAGATTATCAAAATATATAATCCACTGTGCTGACGCGCACTGGGCCTACGACAATGTCTGTTTACAGGACGTGCTTTCGGTATGCCTAACGGGACACCAGGGTGCCTCAGCTAAAGGGTCCCATAGGTTTCCCAACACAAAGTTCTGTAGAGGCTCAAAATAGGTTCAACAAAGTTCTTTATTAAGGCTTAAGTCTTCGAACAAATGAATAAAATGCTATATAATCTTGAAAAACTGGTAGCTTTCTCGATCTGCCAACAAGGGACAGGCAACTGCTTGATAAACTGTTCCTTTCCTCTTTAGGGAAACCTTCTGACCCCTCCTTGGGCAAACTTTTGTTTACCCTGCTGGTGTGAGGCCCCAACTCCCAGCTCCAAGCTGCATTATGTATAGCCCGAGTGGTCCCTTACCAGGCAAATGTCCTGTAGATTTGCCCCACGAAGGCCGTGTAACCATTCCTTTATTTTCCAGCAAAGGGGATTAAACTGTAACTTTACTCCCCAGCAAAGCTATAGAGGTTTTCCTTTCTCCCCAGCAAAAGCTGTAAGAAGCTTTTTGCAGATGGGACAGAGAAAGCCCACACGTCCTGCTGTAAGGCTCCAAACTGTGAGACTGAACTAAAAGTCCCCCTTTCCCTCCAAAACTGGGGAAAGGGGCGGATCTAAAGGCTCTAAAGATGATTGATAGGTTGTTGGCCCTATGACTGCAACCTGGGGAAAGCTACCCAATTGAAAAATGCATGGCCCAAATGGATTCATGCAAACTAACAGTGCAAGAAAAAGAAATTCAAATCTCCTGGCACAGCCGTGCCAGCACATCCCCATTATCTGCTTTGAACTGTATTATATGAGTTTACACTGCCATATAATCCAGTTCAAAGCAGATAATCTGGATTTTATACAGTGAAGAAGGGGCCTGAGGCTAACATATCCCCGAGCTTTTGTGGAGCAGCTTTCCAAATCCTGGTGGATATGAAAGCATCACTCTGGTTGACAAACATGGTTAAATGCCTCTTTCAGATCTTGGTTCTGGGGTTGTTGGGTCCATGGGGGAAGGGACGTGGTATGCTGCACAACTGAAATGACTCAACTGTTCTGGAGAAGAAAGCAGTCTGTTCTAGGGTTGCCATAATAAAAGTTGGAGAGCACTCCTGTATCTTTCTCAATTGGGTAGAAGGGAGAATTTCAGCAGATGTTTTATAGCAGAATCCATACCTACTCCAATGTAAGTCTGACAGAACTCAATGGCTTTCTTTGAAAAGTAGTAGAAAGGACTGTACTGCCCTGGGGCTCCCCAAGGTAAGCCTGCCCCCTGACACACAGACACATGTAGAAAGTAATTTTTTTTTCCTGGCAAAAGAAAAATGAAAACTTCCAGGAGGAGCGGTGTATGCTTTAAATAGGTCACAGACTAGCCTTGCATAGTAAACCATGTCTTTTTTTTCCTTACAAAGAGGTTCTTCCTGGCAACATTTGGTTTTATTTACTTGTTTATTTGTATTTTTATCCATTCACACAGTTCTTGGGAGATCAGAGGTAGTAAACCTGGCCCCAGGAGGCTGCAAAGTTGCCCATAGGAGCAGCCTGAACCAACCTTTGCACATGACTTCCAGCATTTCAGAGATGAAAACAAGAATACATGTGGCCAAACAACATCAGATCGTGGAAAAGATGGCAAAAGTTACTGATGCTAAAGAGAAGCTGCAGCAATTTTTGCTTTTGCCTGAACCTACTGGCATACTGGGAATACTGGCGTACTGAGAAGGCTGAGAGGAGATATGATAGCCATGTATAAATATGTGAGAGGAAGCCACAGGGAGGAGGGGGCAAGCTTGTTTTCTGCTTCCTTGGAGACTAGGACGCGGAACAATGGCTTCAAACTACAAGAAAGGAGATTCCATCTGAACATTAGGAAGAACTTCCTGACTGTGAGAGCCGTTCAGCAGTGGAACTCTCTGCCCCGGAGTGTGGTGGAGGCTCCTTCTTTGGAAGCTTTTAAGCAGAGGCTGGATGGCCATCTGTCGGGGGTGATTTGAATGCAATATTCCTGCTTCTTGGCAGGGGGTTGGACTGGATGGCCCATGAGGTCTCTTCCAACTCTTTGATTCTATGATTCTATGATTCTATGAATGGCAGACCTCCTCCTTTCCTCTTCCTCCTCCAGAGTTCATTGAATGCACTCAGTTTGCAGCAACTCAAGTTTGCTGAGGACAAAGAGGGAAAGTGGAAGGAAGAGAGGAGAGAAACTGGGACATTTAAAAAGCAGCCAAAAAAAAGGGAATGGTAGAAGACACTTAAGGACAGTTCCTACCAAATTGGGGCACTTGTAGAATATGTTATAGGGCAGGCATGGGTAAACATCAGCCCTCCAGGTGTTTTGGACTTCAATTCCCACAATTCCCAACAGCCAACCATCTGTTAGGAATTGTGGAAGCTGAAGTCCAAAACACCTGGAGGGCTGATGTTTACCCATGCTTGTTATAAGGCAATGTAGAATCATAGAATCATGGAGTTGGAAGAGATCTCGTGGGCCATCCAGTCCAACTTCATTCTGCCAAGAAGCAGACAATCACGTTCAAAGCACCCCGAACAGATGGCCATCCAGCCTCTGTTTAAAAGCCTCCAAAGAAGGAGCCTCCACCACACTCCGGGAATAAAGTGCTTAATTTATTTATTTATCGAATCATCAGCAACCAGTCAATTATATTACATTTCTAACAGAACAAAGCAAACAAACAGACAAAATACAAAATACAATAAAAAAATGTGAGTTTGGTAGTTGATTAAATGTCCTTTGACCAGTATCTGGCCACTTGGAGTGCTTCTGGTGTTGCTGCAAGAAGGTCCTCCATTGTGCATGTGGCAGGGCTCAGGTTGCATTGCAGCAGGTGGTCAGTGGTTTGCTCCTCTCCACACTCGCATGTCGAGGATTCCACTTTGTAGCCCCATTTCTGAAGGTTGGCTCTGCATCTCGTGGTGCCAGAGCGCAGTCTGTTCAGAGCCTTCCAAGTCGCCCAGTCCTCTGTGTGCCCAGGGGGGAGTCTCTCATTTGGTATCAGCCATTGGTTGAGGTTCTGGGTTTGAGCCTGCCACTTTTGGACTCTCGCTTGCTGAGGTGTTCCAGCAAGTGCCTTTGTAGATCTTAGAAAACTATTTCTAGATTTAAGTTGTTGACGTGCTGGCTGATACCCAAACAGGGGATGAGCTGGAGATGTCTCTGCCTTGGTCCTTTCACTATTGGCTGCTACTTCCCAGCGGATGTCAGGTGGTGCAATACCGGCTAAGCAGTGTAATTTCTCCAGTGGTGTAGGGTGCAGACACCCCGTGATAATGCGACATGTCTCATTAAGAGCCACATCCAATGTTTTAGCATGGTGAGATGTGTTCCACACTGGGCATGCATACTCAGCAGCAGAGTAGCACAGCGCAAGGGCAGATGTCTTCACTGTATCTGGTTGTGATCCCCAGGTTGTGCCAGTCAGCTTTCGTATGATATTGTTTCTAGCACCCACTTTTTGCTTGATGTTCAGGCAGTGCTTCTTGTAGGTAAGAGTTCCACTGCTGAACAGCTCTCACAGTCAGGAAGTTCTTTCTAACATTCAGATGGAATCTCCTTTCTTGTAGTTTATACTGTTAATGTGTGTACATATTTTGAAAAGTGAAAAGGGCCTAACAGCACATATAAATTTGGAGGGGAGGCATTTGGAGGAGAAATGATCCAATGATGATATGATAATTAAAACAAGAACAACAGTAGAGGCCAGTGTCCCTGGTTTTTATGGCTTCTGGCTCGAACAGTCAGGGCTCATAATTTCACAGCTTGTTTTGTGAAGCAGAAAATGATCTGTGTAATTTTTTTAAAAGCACCCACATTTTAAAAAGCAGGGTTACAGGAAATATTGTCAGAAGGAACAGTCATCTCTGTTTTCTCTTTAGGTTGGGAAT